GGTTCAAACCCACCAGCCACTCCTTGGAAGGAAGGTTGAGCAATCTACTACCATAGTGATATCACCTCAGAAACTCAAGGATGGGTCGCTATGAGTCAGGGCCGGCTCGACAGCACTTAACAACAACAACAATATTTATGGAAGCAGATGGCCAGGCCTTTCTTCCACAGAGCTGCTGGATGGGTTCTAATTGTTAACCTTTTGTTAGCAGCCAAGAGCAAGCAGTTTTCGGTAGACGTGATTACCACACAGAAATTGGCAGATGCTAAAAAAAAAACAAAAACCCAAGCCTTTTGATTCCAGACAGCTGATGTTTACCAGCAAATCTTGGTTACAAAGTTAAGTTCAAATTAATTGACGCCTCATCTGCATGTTGACTGAATCTGATATTTCAGATTTCTCATCGTTTACTCTCCATTATAAAAAGCAGAAGGAGCTCTGGTGGTACCATGGTTAAAGCATTGGGCTGCTAAACCAAAAGTCAGTGGTTCAAACCCACCAGCCACTCTGTGGGAGAAAGATGAAACAGTCACCTGTAAAGATTTACAGCCTTGGAAGCCCTATGGGGCAGTTCTGCTCTGTCCTATAGGGTCTCTATGAGTCGGAATAGACTCAACGGCAGTGGGCACTGTCTCCTATAGGCATTTGACTTTGTTACTCCTGGTAGAAAACTAAGCCCAGAGCATGTCTCAATAACTGGATCTAAACATGCTGATTTAAGCTTTCTACAAAACTGTACTAACAAACTACAAAGTTTGTTGAATGGATTAATATCTTTGTTCTGAATTTCAGGTAGCTTTGTTTCAAAACCCAAGTAGCTGTCTGCCTCATTGCTTCCGTTTAGGGGCCTGTCCTTTTTTCCTGAATGATGAACACTTTTTAGGAAGGCTTCTGGAAGTCTCCATGAAAGTGACTAATATCTGTTTCTCAGTCTGTAGGATTGTGATCTCAGGCTTCAGAAATATCCATCCCTCAGTAAAATGTGTAAAAGAGGTGTTTGTTTGCTGCTAGCACTCTGTCTGAAGATGATTTTGAGGGGAAAGGTGAGATAACGTTATTTCCTTTTAGGTCAGAGTTGTACGTGCTTAGTTTATTTGCTTTGACAGGTTTTCTCTTCTTCCCTAGCATAGTTTCAGGATGTCCAACTGGACAAACTGTCTTTGTCTGTGTTTATGATGTTGGCTCTGGACATGGATGTCAATATTGTTGATTGACCTCTGATTAATTTTTAAGCAGGTTAACCTGGTTCAAGACTGGTTGATGAAATTGCTCCTTTTCAGTTTGGAGTGATCCAAGAGGTGGTAACGCTTCCTCTGTCCCATTTAACAAATGTTTATTAAGCAAGTATTATGGAGAAGAAGCCTTTGACCATGATGCTAAGGGCCACCCAGTGAACCAGAAAACAAGCCAAAGGTGACGAATGCTCTAAGTGCAATGGAATAGGTTAATGGGGGGGGGGGGGGATAGCTATTGAGTTGGTTCTGACTGTTGGTGACCCCATGAGTCACCAGAATTGTGCTCCTAGAGTTTTCAGTGACTGGTTTTTTTCTGAAAAAGAAGTAAATCACCAGGTCTTTCTTCTGAAGTGCCTCTGGGTAGATTCGTACCTCCAGCCTTTTGGTTGACAGCTGAGTCCATTAATTGTTTGCACCACCCAGTGTCTCCTCCTTAAAATGTGTGTAAACCAAAACTCACTGCCGTCCAGCCAGATCTGACTCATAGTGACCCCTCCTTGGGTTTCCGAGAAGGTATCACTACGGAAGTAGATTGTCCTGCCTTCCTTCCGAGGAGTGGCTGGTGGGTTTGAACTGCCAGCCTTCTGGTTAGCAGTCAAATGCCTTAGGCACTACACTACCAGAGCTCCTTTAAAATGTGTATAATTACATGCATTTCATCCAGAATGAAATGGAACCATTTATGGGATAGATTTACTTTTCATCAAGTATCATTTAGAATGTTTGTCTGTATGTATCAAGAATAATTCTACCTCCTCACTGGTAACCTGTGTAACTAACTGTGCTCAGTAGAGTTGATAGAATTTGTTGAGTAGGAAATTCAAATGAGTGGTACAAAGTCAAAAGTGTCTTCTAGCAATAATTTTTATAGTGAAGATGATGTCTTTTGGTAAAAATATCTAATCATAGTACTTAAATAGGTTGTTTCCAGACCCTAGAAGCAGGACCCATTATGGCAGCAAACAATAGAACAGTAGATACTTGCTAGTTATATGACTTTGGGAAAATTGTTTATTCTCTGTAAGTCTCAACCATAAAATGAGGATAACAGTATGGAGGGTTTTTTTATGAAAATTAAATGAGTGGCACAAGTAAAAGGAGACCTGGTGGTGCAGTGGTTAAGCACTCAGCTACTAACAGAAAGGTCTGTTTCAAACCCACCTGCTGCTCCATGGGAGAAAGGTGTGGCAGTTTGCTTCCAGAAAGATTTATAGCCTTGAAATCCTTAGTAGTAGTACAGTTCTACTCTGTCCTATAAAGTCACTGTGAGTTGTAATTGACTTCATGTCAATAGGTGTGGTTTGGTTTTGGTAAGTTGTAATTGACTTCATGTCAATAGGTATGGTTTGGTTTTGGTACAAGTAAAGTGCCCGTTGTAGTGAGCAATCTACAAATATTAGCTATTGTTCTCTTAAAAAGGTTTAAAAAAGAAGAAGAAGAAGAAATCTAAGTTAGACCTTATAAATTATCTTTGGATCAGTTGATGTGGTGTAGCATCATTGGCTTAGTTTCTTGTTGATAATTGTTAGATTTTTTTTTCTGTCCATGGAGAATAATCACCAACCCATACCTGCAGATTAATAGTAATGCAGTGAAAGCTGGAACTCGATGGGAATGCCCTGTTTTTCCTCGTCTCACACATTTTCTGCCCTTGACAGGGTACAGTCTTACTGCTATTCAGTCTCTCTCTCGTAGTGGAAAATACTGCATTTTCCTCCTCTAACAGAAGGAGATCTGGTAGCACAGTGCCTAAAGCATTTGACTGCTAACCAGAAGGTTGGTAATTCAAACCCACCAGCCACTCCACGGAAGTAAGACTGGGCAATCTACTTCTGTAAAGATTAACCTTCTCAGAAACCCAGTAGGGGTCACTATGAGTCAGAATCGACTCGCTGGCAGTGGGTTTGGGTTTTTGTTGTTGTTGTTCTCTAAAAGGTTTTACTGTACCACTCGAGAAGATTATGGAGTAAATTTTTGTGGGTACAAACTGACCACCCGTCCCTAAGGCTAATCCATAGCTATTTCATTCCCCTTTTTTGTCCTGTACGTAGGAGAGTAGCACTTTTTGTCTCATAGAAGTGGGACACTGTGGGGCCACTTGGCTATTAACAAAAAGCCAATGTTTATGAGATCTTGGTATGTGCCAATCCCTGTGTCAACATTTTACGTTTATTATTATCATGTGATCTTCACAACAGCACTAAACAGTGGGCATTATTATTATTATCCTCATTTTACAGATGAGTAAGCTGAGGTTTAAGAAGTTAAATACCTTGCCCACAATCTTCAGTTGAGTAAGCACTGGAGTTAGAATTTCAAAGCCAGGTCCAACTTCACAGCCTGAACTTGGGAAGGGTAGTTGGGCTTTGTGAGCCCTGAGAAGGTTCTTCCCAGTTCCCAGGTTCCCTTGGGACCTCATGAACCCCTGTGGCAGGAAAGTGTAGGATTCTTGCTGCTTTCTGAATACTCTCACCCTGTGGGAGAGCCCCCTCTGGATGGCATAGTGTTCATTTCCTATGGCTGCTATAAAAAATTATCACAAACTTGGTTGCTTAAAACAATAGAAAATTGTTCTCTCACTGAGAAATTTTGGCCAGAAGTCCAAAATCCAGCGTGTCAGCAGGGCTACACTGCTTCCAGAGGCTCTTGGGGGGTTCAGTTCCTTGTCTCTTCCAGCTTCCAGTGACTTCTCATTTCTTGACTTGGACTGCATCACTCCAATTGCTGCCTCCATCTTCACATTCTCCTCCTTGTCAATCAAAGCTCCCATGTATGTCTTTTATAAGGATCCTTGTCAATGGATTTAGGGTCCACCTGGATAATCATCTCAAGATCTTTAACTTAATTAAACCTGCAAAACTTTTGTTCCAAATAAGGTTGCATTCCTAGGTTCTAGGAATTAGGCACCTGGGGGAAGGAGGCCAGCTTCCACCTCTTCACATGCTAATGAATGCCTTTCCAGCCAGGTCCCTCCTTTAGAGCCTGGTGGGCAGCATGCAGTCTGGTAATGCTACTTTTCCAGTGGGGTAACAGTATCGCCAGTATGTCACCGTTTGGTGTTACAAGGGCTTTCCCATGCTTTCAGTGTGAATGACCCAGTCTTAAGTCCTGCTGCAGCCTCTTAGGCTCCCCTGTGGTGGTCACAGTCTCTCTCACAAAGTCTTGTTCTCTTTCAGATTGCTGATCTGCAACTCCATAAACTGGATGAACTGGACTGTCTGATTCAGGGCCTGCTTTACGTCGATTCTGTCGGCTTCAATGGCAAGCCAGAATGTTACTATTTTGAAAATCCCACAAATCCGGAATTGTGTCAAAAAAAGCCGTACTGCCTTGACAATCCATACCCTATGTTGCTGGTTAACATGGGCTCGGGTGTCAGCATTCTAGCAGTGTATTCCAAGGACAACTATAAAAGAGTTACAGGGACCAGGTAAACATGTTTCTCACTAGGGAAACCTTTTTGTGCTTAAACCCAGGCCTTTCCTTGATCACCAGCTTACAGTAAAATGCTGTTTACATTAAACACATTTTTTCCAGAAAGATCTTATCCTCCTCAGCCTGCAGTGATATGCTAAAGGAATAAGAAATGGATAAAATACAGTCTCTGCCCTGCTAGAAGGAGCCCTGGTGGCACAGTGGTTAAGTGCTTGGCTGCTAACTGAAAGTTCATTAGTTTGAATCCGTCAACTCCTCCCCAGAAGAAAGATGTGGCAGTCTGCTTCCGGAAAGATTTCAGCCTTGTAAAACCCTATGGGGCAGTTCTACTCTGTGCAGTAGGATTGCTGTGAGTTGGAATTGACTCAACAGCAATGGGTTGGTTTGGTATTTTGGTTTTGTCCTGCTAGAGCAAGGAGATTGTAGTCAAGTTGAGGAAAGAAGAGTTGTTCACATCAGAAGAAGGTTCACACACACCAACAAGGCAGGACGTGCTAAGTGCCAAATGAATGGCAAAAACAATAAGAACAGTAGGATCCACGTGGAAGGATCATTGGGATGGTCAGAGAGGACTTCAGAAGAAACCTTCTTTTGGAGCTTCTTTGGTGCCTAGCACAGTGCCAGGTACATACAAGTACTCATTTAAGGATAGATTGATTGACATAATGTGCCATTCCAACAGCAAGCCAAACTGGATTCACAGAGAATGCTTCTTCCCTCAGGTCAATGCCCCAGCTGAAAACTGGAATAGTACATACCTCAAAGGGGATTTTGAAATGCCGTGGACAGGAAAACAGCCTTGTGACTGTAGTTGAGCAGAGTTGCCTTCTTTTTCACGCACACTTGTCAGGGCAAATGGGCTCAGCTTCCTGTTTGTGGGGCTGTAATCAGCTTCCTGTTTGTGGGGCTGCAACCAGGGGAAAAGGGCCTGGGGTCAGAATCTGGGTAATTAAACAGGCTTTCTGTAGTTCTTTACTGTAGAACTTTCTCAAAGCCTTTACAGTATGCATGTGATTTAGTAATGTCTAAGAGGAAGATTTGATGGAAAGCATTTCTGGACCACAGAACCCATTTTTGGAGGAACAACTTAAGGAACTAGTGCCATTTGTCTTGTACTTTAGGACATGCAGTCGAAGCCATTGTCTCTTATAGATAAAAACATCGTGTAACTTCTCTGGGGCTTCAGTGTCCTCATTTGTGCCATGAAGGGCTCATTTCTTAGATTGTTTTTGCAGGTTTGGCACTGAAATTCTGCAGTTCTGCTCACCATTAGGAGGAGAGCACTGTGTACCCAGTGTAGTTCCATGACCAGTGATGCAGCTACATAAATCAGTGGTTTCTACTGGGAAGGGGAAACTAGCTTCTCAAGGAATATTTGGCAATGTCTGGAGATTGTCACAACTGAGGGTGGGGTACTATTGGCATCTAGTGAGTAGAAGCCAGGGATACTGCTAAACATCCTAACATGCCCAGGCCATCCCTCCACAACAAAAAATTACTGAGCCTCAAATGTCAATAGTGTCAGTGTTGAGAAACCCTGGCATAGGTGTGTGTGCGTGCATGTGCACATGCACACATGTGTGCACACACATACACACATTTGGTCTGAATCATGCATTTGTCCAGAGTACAGGCTTTGGTAAGTTCATTGCTAGCTACTAGGTGTATATTTTCTTACTGGGAATAAAGAACTAAAGCTTGCTTGCTCTCGTAGGAGTCAAAACAGACTCCATGGCCTCATTAGGACTGACAGGAGTATTAGGTGAATGAGCATTTCAGCTGAGCTGGTTTTACTTTAGAGAGTAATTTCCTGGTAAAGCAACAATTTTTAAGATACTGCAGCCTTCTTCCCAGGAATCATTGACTTGCTCTGGCTAGTTCCAAGGTAACAATAAGCTAAACATTCTTCCACAATTAGAGATATTTATGGTTGTGTTGGTTAACACTTAATAAATTCATGAGTTGCATGAAAGTTACACATTCTCAAACTCGGGAACTCCTGGAATCTGGGTCATCTTCATTAGTGGCTCATGAGCTAATTGTAGTGTTTAGCTTCAATTACACATGTAATAAGGCCTATACACTCTAGCTACTGGTCATTAATGATAAGTATTTTGCCATCATCAGTAAATTCTGTCTGGATATCTAAGCTTCCCTCTAAGCTCTCTATTCAATCAGTAGTTTTAGAAATGTGCTATAGGATTCTGAAGGTTGATAGAGAGCCCTTTCAGGGACTACCCCACCCAGGGGTCGGAGGGAGTGGAACAGCAAACCTCTGGGGCTCTCAGTCCTCTTTCCTAACCAGGAAGTTGTTCCAAAGGTTTATTTAGATCCAAATTTTGAAAACTGCTGGCATAAACTGTTACGATCACCAGTGAATAGTGTGTGGAACACACCTTGGGAATCACTGATTTAATCCAATGGCTTAATCTTTTAAGTTTTGCTACTTCTATTATGAGACGGATAAAGAACTCTGGTGGCACAGTGATTACAGCACTTAGCTGCTATCTGAAGACTCAGTGATTTGAACCCACCAGCCACTTTACAGAGAAAGATGAGGCAGTCTGCTTCTGTAAAGATCACAGCCTTAGAAACCCTATGGGACAGTTCTACTCTGGCCTTTAGGGTAGCTGAGTGGGAACCAACTCGATGGCAATGAATTTGGTTTGGTTTTATTAAAAGACTGATAGCTGTAACTCCTGTTTTTTTGTTTCTGTATTATACCCTATTTTCCCATTAAGCATTTTTAGTTTTAGGAAACCACATCATTACAGGTTATCAGTTTTCTTTTATAAATATATGGTTTTTAGATGGTTCATTTTCATTCTATGTGTAATTTTATTATATCCCAAATTGGATAGCAACATTTTTTCCTAGCAACACAACTCCAGTTTCATAATAGAAGTCAATGAAAAAATAGGACTTTACAGCTGATATTGTTAGATGTGTAGTCTAGTAGAAGAGAACTGTAGAGAATTTATCATCTCATCGTTTTGGAATCTATTGTAAAGGCACGGGCACTGAGTAATTGAAGGTTCCTTGTACTCCCTAAAATCCTTTATTACAAGATTAATGTTTTTGTTTGTTTGTTTTGAGTAATAATGTTTCCAGCTATATGTTTTCGTCTCTGATTTACCAAGAGTCTTATTGTGTGGCTGCGGAAGTGAACAGATGTAGCTGATTTTGAGTGAGGGAATCAGTTAATTAAATAATGGTTAGCAGGTTGGGGATATTAATAAAGTGCTAGAAGATGTCTGGCTCTTTCTTCCTGTCTGTGCGTACCAGTTGTGCACATGCATGCTCGCTTCCCCATTCAGCTCAGATTCCCTATCTGGAATCACCTGTCATTTTCCAGTCCTATGAAGCACCTGTCCTGTCACCCATACCAGTGCATCAGTTGATCAGTTGCCTTCTTTCTAAGTCAGCCAGTGTTTCCAGTAGTCTCTGCTTGGAGTGGCTTGGTCCACCTTTTAATTGATAGAAATACCTGATGTTCAGCGAAAGGTTATCAGTTGGAGGAGCAGGGTTAAAAGGGATTTGCAAGCTAGAAGGTGAGCAAAGACTTCCTCTTTAAGATATACATGGAGAGAACAAAAGTTCAGATGGCTCACAAACCAAAAAGTGTTCCCATTAAAACACACTGGCTTTGTAGTTTCATTCGAAACTGACAAGTAGCGTGAAATGTCATGTGAAAGGTAAATAAATAAAAACTTTCTTAAAGGAAATCCAAAATTTCTACTGTGCCTGAGTTTTCAAGGCGGTAATGTACATGGGGCTCTTCGTTTTCTCATGGCACTGCTCCTGCACTCTGAGTGGCTGCTACAGTTGGTGCCTCCTTACATCATCTTTCCATATTGTGTTGTTAGGTTGATTCCAATTCAGAGTGACCCCATGTGACAGTAGAACTGCCCTGTAGGGGTCTCTGGGCTGTAATCTTTACAGAAGCAGATCTCCAGGTCTTTTTCCTATGGGACCACTAGGTGGGTTTGAACTGCCCACCTTTCGGCACTTAACTTTTGCACCACCAGGGTTTCTTAATATTTCCATGAGAACAAGTAATTACAATCAAGTGTCTCTTTGTAAGAATTGGGTTTTAAGAAATATTATACACAGTTTGCTTGAGAAGAGATTTAAAGAACTCCATGCGTGTCTACAATCTGGTACCTTCTCATGAACAGTTACTAACAGTAAATATAGTTTACACTAAATCTTTCTTTTTAAAAACTAAATAGCTTTAATCCAGGCTTGAATTTTTCTTACAATTAGAAGCCAGTACCCAGACACATAGGAGTCCATAGGTGCTGCAAACGGTTAATATGCTCAGCTGCTAACTAAAAGGTTAGAGGTTTGAGTCCACCTATGGGCACTCAGAAGAAATTTCTGGCGATCTACTTCTGAAAAGTCAGCCATTAAAAACTGTAAGGAGCTCAGTTCTCTGACACACACAGGGTCACCATGAGTCAGAATTGGTGGCAACTGGAATAAAAAAAAAAGCACATTTGGGGTTCCCAGAGCTAGCAGCTCTGTGAGGCTGTAGAACAAATTGATATGCACAGATCTGTGTCTACTCTTTTGTGGTAAAGAACGAATCAAACTCAGGTCCAGAACTTTAGGAATCTGCCCGTTTTCCTGCCAAGAGTTCACTGGTGGTGTCTTTACTCCCAAGCTGCTTCTGTTTCCATCAGGTACCTTTGATACTAATACTCAGTTGGATTCATTCTCAACTATCATAATCAGTTTCTAATTTTATCTAAAAAAGATGATTATAAAGGAACAGTCCCCAAAACAATGGAAAGCATTTTAAAACATGGTTCTGAGCCTTGGAACCATTTTATGACCTTTGTTACTATTTTATGACTGCTGTGTGGCAAAAAAAAAAAAAAAACATTGCCATTGAGTTTTCAAGTCTGTAAATCTTTATGGAAGTAGATTGCCCCATTGTCCTCCCTCTGGAGTGGCTGGGGGGTTTGAACCACTGACCTAGTTAGCAGCCTTATATACTGTGCCAGCAGAGGCCCTTATTGTATGGCAAGTAAAATACTAATAACCTTTCCAGAGTCTACTAGAAAAAAATCTTCTATCACACGGATCAGTGATTTTTTTCCGCTTGGAAATCTTCGAGGAGGGTAAATGGTGTTATTTGCTGGAAAAGGGAAGTCAGGTGAAAGATTCAGCTTTGGGCGTGGCTAGTCTTGGCAGGGTCTTAGGTCAATTTTGTCATCAAAGTTAGGTTCCATAGTTGTGAACATATCTTTTTGTTTATTTTGTAATATCATTTTTCTGGTTGTTTGCTGCTTATAAACCACCCAAGTAGGAGAGATTACATTGGCCCCATCTTGTAAGTAGGAAGACTGAATTGCTTAGGTTAGTGGCTAGTTGAAGGTCTCACAACAGAAATCTAAGAATCTTTCTTTGGTTTTGAGTTTAAATTTAGAGGCAAGTTTTTCTTGATGTTTGTTTTTAATCTCTCCCCTCTTTCTTATCCAGTCCACCCTAAAACTCTTTGGTACCCTAGCATTATAATTCAAGCGTCCCTTTGTTTTTCTTCTCCTGTTTTTATTAACCCATATTAATGGTGTTGATATAGTCGGGGACTTAGATGGGCATATCTTAAAGTAAAATTTAAAAATAAACCTTATTGTTCCTTCAGTCTTGGAGGTGGAACATTCCTAGGCCTATGTTGCTTGCTGACTGGTTGTGAGACCTTTGAAGAAGCTCTGGAAATGGCAGCTAAAGGCGACAGCACCAATGTTGATAAGCTGGTGAAGGACATTTACGGAGGAGACTATGAACGATTTGGCCTTCAAGGATCTGCTGTAGCATCAAGGTAGAGACTAAGTAGCTAGGGGCAGTAGTGATTAAACACAAGGCAAGCTTTCCACGCTGGCCATTCATTTAGTTTTTTAAATTGTCAACTCACCAGCCTGGTGCAAATATCTAATGTACTGGAGCTCAGACTTGATCTCCTGCCCTTAATGAAGGCTTGAGATATATAGCTCCTAATGCTTGTGCTTAAAACAGAGAGCAAGTTTGAAAGAAGGTTCTGGAAAACTGCAGCAGTTACCCCTGTTCAGTTCTTGTCTGGAAATCTAGAGGCATAAAAATTATTTTGTGTCCCCATCAATACCCATGCTAAGTTGTCCCTGTTAAGAAAAGGGCAGCCAACCATATCATAATCCTGTCTGCTTGTGAAGCCTGGTAGCCAAACCAGGTCATTTGAGTTTGAACAGAGTTTCTCATAGAGCTTTCCACAGTTCTTTGGTGGCTGAGGAAGATTTGAACATTCTCGCTAATATTTCCAACATAGCTTTGGCAACATGATGAGTAAAGAAAAGCGAGATTCCATCAGCAAGGAAGACCTCGCCCGAGCCACTTTGGTCACCATCACCAACAACATTGGCTCCATTGCTCGGATGTGTGCGTTGAATGAGGTAAGGCTCTAAGCCAAGGAAAGCTGGGTGTCATCCATATGCATCATCTTTAGCAGTGTAATACCTTTTGACCCTTACAAAACTACAAATCTTTGGGAAATCTGTCTTTTGTTGTAGTCACACATTGTAGAACATTAGGGGGTAGTAGCAAGGTGGAGAGGAATAAATGTTTTATTTTCAAGTAGGCGCTGGATGATAACAAATGATAAAACATACAACCATGGTAATGTAAAATTATAACATCCTCTCTAACCATCCTTATTGCCAAATGCCTGTCAAAGCGTGGAGAAAGTCTTGCACATTGTTGGTCTCTTTGTAGGTCCTTGCAAATAATTGCACGTACACTGTGGTTCCTACCAGTTTTACCCATTTAAGTGCCAGAAATGCTATGGGAAGGTGCCCTTGCTCCACTTGAGACAGTCGACATTCTCTCTGCTTTCAGCTTCTTTACAGTGTTGCCTTGTGGCATGGAGTTCAAGCAGCATTGTACAGGGCTATCAAAGCGCAGAGAGCTTGCTGCAGCCCGGGCCGACCAGAGCCCCAGACCTAAGAAGGGGTGGGGCTGGTGGGACACAGCAGGTTGAAGCATTACAGAATTGCTTTGGAAAAACGGAACCCTTTTCTGAAATCCAAGGTGTGTAAGGTAGAACAGTTCTCTTTTTGCTGAGAAGTGTTAGGAAGGTAAGAGAGGGGGGCTGGGGCATGGAACCGTTAACAGGAGACGTGTTAACCACAGTGGCATCAGAGGTTTTGGGTTTTTTTTTTTTTTTCTTTAATATTTTTAATTGAATTATGCATACAGAAGAGGGCTCAAATTGTAAGTGTATAACTCAATGAATCTTCATACGCCCCTGTATGGCCCCCATTCAGATCAAGGTATAAAGTGCCCTCGTTCCCTGCTGGTTGAGCAATGGAGTGTTAAACAGTGTCCTAATGATAGCTAGGTACTAGTCTTGCCTTTGAGTTCTGGGGTTACAGGAGAGACACCCTATTTTTATGCCACTGAATAGACTGTATTACTGGCCATTGGACCAGGGTCCTAACTTTGAGACTTGAAATTCTCCATTTCAGGCAGAGTTTAAATATAAGGCTGACTTTCAAATACAATAATATATTCCAGAAATGTGCCTTCTCAAAGTCCACTTCTGTCGGAGGATTCACTGTAACAGAGGGCTTATTTCCTAACATTAATGTCAAGCTTTTAATGTCCAAGTGGCCAAACAAGCCCTCAGAAAATGTGTGTGTACTTGGCTGTACCCACAGGCTCTCAAAGGTCAGTTAGATGTAACATCCCCACCCCATAAAGCAATAGTTGCCCTTTCCCCTGCTTCCTGGGGTTGGCTTCTACCTTGCACCTCTGGCTTCAGTGAGCCACCAAGTCTTTTTACAGGTACTGTGATCACTTTAGGGCAAGGGCAGCTGGCTTGCTTTTTCACTTTTGATCTCAGTTTCAATACTACTACTGTTGGAGTCTAGCAAAAGTGTCTGTTTGAAAGTATTGCCATGTCAGATGCTACGATGGGTTGAGCAGTTATTTGGGATGTTTCTGTGGAGTTAAATAAATGAGGAGAATCACTGAATTGCTTGGGGCTGAGGCTCCATTAAATGAGAGTTGGAGTCCCTGTAGCCTCGTGTTAGTGCAGACTTCCTATGGGCACACCAGTGAGAGCAGTGAACTCCAGTTCATTAATCATTGCTTTGCTCTCTGGAACCAGAGATTTGAGAATCTTTGATCTCAGCCATTTGATAGATAGACACCACATTTACTGCCTCTGAAATATTGGAATGGTATGAAATGTTCTTCATCAACTTTTAAGTGTTCTTTTTTTTATTTTTGAAATAAATAATACAAGCACACAATTCAGAATCCGAAAGATATCAGAAGCATAGAAGCATATGCAGGGAAGTGAGTCACATTTCCACCTCTGGCCCTTGATGTTAACCTCACTAGAAACAGCCATCATTTTTAGTTGTTTTCATCCTATACTGTATACAGTATAGACTACACACACACATATACATTCACACATATATAGATAAATGTGCAGTATGTATCTATCTCCTTCCAAAGATAGCAAATTCCACGTTCTATTCTTTTCTCAATAATAAGCTTTCTTAAGATATAATTTATACTATACAATTCATCTTCATATTCTACATCTTGCTTTATTTATTTGCTATTCAATAGGCGTAATGCCTAAGGCATTTGACTGCTAACCGGAAGGCTGGTGGTTCAAACCCACCAGTCACTCCTTGGAAGGAAGACTGGGCAGTCTACTTCCATAAAGATTTACTGCCTCAGAAACCCAAGGAGGGGTTTCTATGAGTCAGAATCGACTTGATGGCAGTGGGTTTGGTGTTTTTGGTTTTATAAACTTTTAAGTATAAAACTTGGCAAACATACATAAAGGAGAGAGAATAGTATAACCACCATATATCCATCAGCCCCTCCCCTAATTCAACAATTTTTCAGACTGCCACTCACGCTTCAACGTTTTCTTCTTCCTCCTTCCTCTGCTTTTTTCTCTTCCTCTTCTCTTTTTGGCTAAAGTATTAGAAAGCAGATCCTAGATATTATACCAGTCTACCCTACATGCTTCGATGTGCACCTCTAAAAATACTACCTCTTGCTTTTTTACATAACAATGCCCCCTTGAGATTGTTCCTAGCACTGTATTTAGAACTGCTTCATTTTTTAATGCCACATAGAGTCCTATCATATAGAAAAGCTATTCTTGATTTGGGAGCTCTGGTGGCACAGTGCCTAAGGCATTTGACTGCTAACCAGAAGGCTGATGGTTCAAACCACCAGCCACTCTTTGGAGGGAAGATTGAGCAATCTGCTTCTGTAGTGATACTGCCTCGGAAACCCAAGAAGGGGTTGCTATGAGTTGGAAACAACTCAATGGCAATTAGTTTGGTTTGGTTTATTCTTGATTTAATCAATTTCCTAATCATAATTAGGTTTTTCTAGTCTTTTACTATTGAAAAATAGCAAAAGTATTTTATATATTTTACATATATATGTACATAATTTTGCTTGCACGTGAGTGTGTCTGCAGGATCAATTCCTAGGAGGAAAATTGCTGAGTAAAAGACACATCAGTTGTCATCTTGACAGGTATAATCAAATTCCCTCTGAAGAGGGGCTGCTAATTTATATTCCAGCTGGCAGAGTATAAGAGTCCAAGTTTCTCCAGAGGGTTAGCAAACATTTTGTCCTTCTCCAATCTAATAGATAAGAAATGATGTTTTAGTTTGCGTTTTTCTTATTATAAGTGAAGACAAGCATTTTCCATGTGTTTAACTTTAGTATTCCCCCTTTTGTGTACACTATCTATTCACACTGTTCACCCATTTTTCCGCTCAATTTCTTGGGCTTTCTTTTTTCTTATTGATTTGCAGGAGCTCATTATTAACTAGGTAATTGACTCATTTCATGTGATAAGGACTGAAGATGTTTCCTGTTGATTGCTCTCCATTTGAATTTGTTTGTGCTGATGTTTGCCCTTGAATAAACACTTGATTTTTAAGTTAATATTTCTCTCTCACTCGCTCTTTTTTTCAGTCTGTTCTATGTGTTATGCCTTTTCTATTTTCTATTTTAATGTTTTATTTAAAATTCTCCCATATTTTCTTCTAGTTTTTGTTTTTGTTTTTTAAAACATTTACATCTTTGATCCAACGGAATTTCTTCGAAGGAATACCCATCAACTTTTAAACAAATGCAATGTGTTTTATGGTGGTGGTGGTTGTGTGCTGTCAGTCGACTCATAGCAACTTCCCATCAGCTTTGCTTTTAATGCCACTTCTATTCCTCTGTCTTTCTACCAAGGAAATGCAGGACTGGGGTTTTGAGTACATCCTACCTTGAGCTCCCCTGTTTTGGAAGAGCAGTCATCACTCCAAAATTTAATTAAATTCTTCTTTAATCTGAGTTTCTTTCTTTGAGTATTTCTGGGCCATTTGTGGCTACATCTTTTGTGTGCTTGTGTAAGAACTTACTAAACTACAGTAACCGCCAACCCTCAATCCATGAAAAATGTTCACAGTGGCTAAGGTGCTGATGTACAGCCAGAATGCTCCTTGCAAGTGAGGATGGTGAGACTTTATCTCACATACTTTGGACATGTTATAGAAGGGACCAGTCCCTGGAGAAGGACGACATGGTTTGGTAAAGTAGAGGGTCAGCAAAAGTGCAGAAGGCCCTCAGTGAGATGAATGCACTGGCTGCAACGATGGGCTCAAGCGTAGTGATGAATGCTTTGCTCTGTTGTATCTAGGGTTGCGACAAGTCGTAACTGACTCAACAGCACCTAACAACAATGAGCTGATGAACATGTATCGTTAAAACCTGAAACAGTTAAAAGGTGATGGTCCCAGTCCCTGATTACTCTTGATTGATGGAGCAAAAAATAATGTCAACTTCAAAGACTCCTTCCCTCTGATATGAGTGACCATAGCAACTGGCCCTTTCAGTGGTGAGCAGCCTCTGCTCAGTAGACAGGCTGAGCTCAGTTTAAGAAACAGCTGGGGGGGCGGTTTGCTGTGAACACACCGGAGCTCAAAGCTCAGCATATGGAATTTGAAGTATGTCTGCATGGACAGGATAAAAGAGGAGTGTTCTTAAGTGTGTGTTCAGAATGCAAATCTCTATCCATGCCTTGACAAAAGCATACATATGTAAATATGTACTTTTTGTTACCGTATTTTAACCCATATGTTGACCAAACAGGATATTGCACCACTAGGTATTATTTGTTTTTGTATTTCCAGTGTTTGGGAGAGAGTAACCCCTGAGCAAACTCATGAGATGAAGAAACCATACCATGGCCAGTCTTATTAGTAGGAACATTTATTAGTTGGGCGTGTTGTGTTGTTGTTATGTACCGTCGAGTTGGACTCGACTCATAGCGACCCATCCTTGGGTTTCCGAGGTGGTATCACTATGGAAGTAGACTGCCCAACCTTCCTTCCAAGGAGTGGCTGGTGGGTTTAAACCACCAGCCTTCTGGTTAGCAGTCAAGTGTCTTACACACTATGCTGGAAGTTTGGGGAATTTGTGAAATGAACAAGCAAATTTAGCTAAACTCCAGTTACAATTTTATGTATGTGTGTTGGGAGTTGAATTTCATATGAAACCTTAAGGCTGCCTGCAAAAACAGTGAGGAGGCCACATGTTCAGGCCTCCTCTAACCCTACAAGAGGAAGACAGGATTACCAGCAGTAACCCAAGGCCTATTCCTGCCAGGCCAGACATGCTGCCTCCCTCCAGCCGTTTTTCCAACTGTTCCTCCCAAAGCACCCACCATCTCTCTTCTGGGTTCGATAATTCACTGCAGTGGCCACACAGAGCTCACAGATTATGGGGTTTATTAGGGAAGCACCGCAGGCTACAATTCAAGTTCAGGAAAAATGCTCAGCCTCTCTCCCAGCCCACCTTCCCTCAGCCAACAGTCTCTCACAGTCTCTTTCCCAGCAACTCGTGTCTCAGGAACCCGCGTCTCTTTCAGCAGCATGTCTTCCTCAACCAGCAGTCAGAGAGAGTTCTGCCTCTAGGAGGCCTCCTTTTGAGCCTGGCAGGGTGGTCAAACTAGCCAATCATAGCATCAGAACTCTAAGCATCTGAGAGAGTGGGCACCTCCCAGAACATTGTATTGTGCCACGCCCAACAGAAATAACCCAGGTGGGCGACTTTAGCAATCAGGTTCTCCTCAGTTGCTAATAGCAATTCCCACCTTGGAGTTTACAAAGACTTATGGGTAGAGAAGCCACACTAAGTAATTTACTACACTGCACTGCCTAACATAATACCTGCAAACAGGCCCCATATCAGTCTCTGCCTCACCCAACAAAACTCACCCCCATGTTCTTATGGAATGCTTTACAAAGTTTGCTTGACCTTAGCCTGGAAATGCTGAAATAGTTGCATTAGAAAGAAGAAAATTCATTATGTAGGGTCCTAGGATATAGTGATGTACAGAACTTTGGGTCTTTGCTAACTACTAGTTTGACACCATGTTTCAATTGTTTTTCTTTAATTTTCTTTTTCAGAATATTGACAGAGTTGTGTTTGTTGGGAATTTTCTCAGAATCAATATGGTCTCCATGAAGCTGCTTGCATATGCCATGGATTTTTGGTCCAAAGGACAGCTAAAAGCTCTCTTCTTGGAACATGAGGTAAGTTGAGGCTGCATGGATTTATTTTGGGTTGTCAAATTTTTGAGCAGATGTTCTTAGTTTGAAAATTGGTTGAACTAAGAAGGTGTTGCCATTTACACTTTGCAATTCTGCAAAGGATCTAAAATGGAAACCCTTTTATCTAACAATCAGGACTGTTTGTCAGTAATAAAAATCAGTTAAAGTAGACAATCATTAAAAAAAATCTCCTGCTTCAACCATTTTATTTTAATTTCAAAAGTAAAAACATACGTTTAGTCAGCAATCGTTTGACATAGGGCTGAGGCCTGTTTTTGAGCATGGATTCTGCTAGAGTTCTGTGGCTGTCTAAATCACAAGTATTACGTACTCTCTTTGATTTCAAGTTTGTTTCTTTAAAATGAATCAAGAAACTAAAGACACTTGTGAAGCAATTTGGTATCAGAGTTCTTCTAGATTTTTCTCTGTTTTTTTTTACTGTCATTCACACCTAAGTTGAGAGCAGTATTTTGTGCCTGCCTTTTTCAAGCATTTAGTTGAATTTTCACAGGCATAACCATTCTTTTTGCACCAATTTTTCTTTGGCTTATGCAATATAGAATTAAATTATAGTATTACATTAACATTAAAATTTTCATAAACAAAAGTGAGGGTAAACAAAGCTACACAATTCTAATCAAAAGAATCTACACTCGAAAAATAGGGCTTGGCAAACAAAAGATAGCCATAGGAGTTGAACATTTACCTGAGGTAGATACACTCCTTGGAGAGAACAATCATGGGAGAGAGAAGGGCTGTTTATGCACAGGGAAACAGCTCAGGGGGCAGGAGTGCATGGAGGGATAGACACAGGGAAGAGGTGACTGTCAGGAGGAAGTGGGAGCGGGGCTGTTGCATTGAGGTGAATTGTGGTCAATGTCATGAGACAAAGTGTATGTGAACTGCTGTATGGAAAGTGAATTTGGTCTGTAAACTTTCACCCAAATCAAAATACAAAAAAAAAAAGAAAAAGACCTTGGCCTTGTATCAGAGTGTAGAGTCCCTGGGTGGTACGAAGAGTTAACACAACTCAGCTGTTACCTGAAAGTGTGAAGGTTCATGTTTCCCTAGAAGTGCCTCAGAAGAAAGGCCTGGTGATGTACTTCTGAAAACTCCACTACTGAACACCCCATGGAGCACAGGTCTGCTCTGACACACATGGGGTCAGCATGAGTCAGAGTGGACGCAACAGCAACTTATGGGCTGGTAGGGTAACAGCAGCAAAAAGAAAAAATAGGGAAAGAACTATTACTGTAAAATTAAATTTCAATTTTCTCATCTCCAAATAGAATTATGTATTTGAAAAGTCACTGATATATTTGTAAGCTATTTTTAAGAGCTGATTATGCCCAGATTTTGTTTTAGGAAATCATATAAACAATAAGAACTTACATACTAAATTGTCATCGCCCAATGGTAGAAATTAATGCTTAAATTAAAAGTCTGCTGTTTGTTATAATGCAGGCTTAAGGGAGCAATAACTTTTTCTTTTAGATTTGGGTATGGAGTCCCAGAACTTCATTCCCTCTCCCCCAAGCTAGAGCAGCTCTCTTTCTGTCTACTTATTTATTGAGTTTTCATGTAAGATTTGCTTGTTTTTTAAAAAAAAAAAACAGCACCTCAGCTTTAAGAAAACCACTGGTCTCATCCACATAGAGTTGACATATTTAGCAATAAAAATACAAAACATCCAGATATTTTATCTGGCAACCCTAAACCCAGATCCTCTTGAACTAATGCAGAAAATTAAGCCTAGAAACATTCAGGGATTAAAAAGTGCCTACAGGGTCACACAGGTAGCTAGTAGGTAGGAAAGTGAGGAATATGATTCAACATTTTGGGAAAACTCATGTCTTTAAGTAGAAACAGTCACCTTTATCTATTTGTACAATCCTAGGCCTCTGTGGAATATAGATTTGGTTTGTTATTAAGTGTCATAACTCAGTCTCTATGGCCAGTAAAAGTGGAATATCCTTGTAATCTTATAATCCTTTGGTGGTGGCCCTCAGAAAATTCTCTACAGTCCTGATTTCACTCTGGCTTAAGATAGACCTTGGAGCCCATGAAGGAAGAACTATTGGAAGGAGTTAGTATGGTGACTTTCTAGTGGACTGACTTGGCCTTAGGACTTTCCACTCCATCTCTTCTTCATTATATTAGAATTATTGGACATATCCATGTTCAATTATTGAACGTTCCCAAGAGAAGTAGTCGAGTGGAGCAGTTAAGAACCTATAGACGGCGTCATCTCCATTTTAGCATTTGTAAAGTGGGATGACTGTATTTGTTTCACAAAGTTATCCTGAAGATTAAATGAATAATTCTTTTAAAGTACTTAGAACAATTCCTGGCATATAGTGAGGCCTCAGGAGCCCTGCTGGTACAGTGGTTAAGCACTTGACTGCTAACTGCAAGGTCAGCAGTTCAAACCCACCAGTGGCTCCATGGGAGAAAGATGTGGCAGTCTGCTTCCATAAAGACTGTGGCCCTGGAAACCCTACGAGGCACTTCTACTCTGTTCTGTGGGGTCACTGCAGTGCAACAGCGCACTGCCATGGAGTAGGATCCGACTTATAGCAACCCTGCCTTGGGTTTCCAAGGCAGTATCACTATGGAAGTAGATTGCCCAACCTTCCTTCTGAGGAGTGGCTGGTGGGTTTGAACCGCCAGCCTTCTGGTT